CAAGTGGAGACCTTCCACGACGTGGAAATTCCACCAGGAACCTGCTAATTGACCGATGCTGCTAAGGAATGAGAAGCTTAGCCTTAAGAGATGAAAGCTAGCAAAAATGCTTTCAGTTTGAAGAATCTGTTTATAAATGGGGAGGTGTGGAAAGCGTCTAGCTCTGCAGTGAGACAGACTTGGATTTCAGTCTCCACCCTCCAGCTCACTGACTGGGAGACTGGGGACAATTTACTCAGCCCTCCAAGCCTCCCTGTCTCTAGCTATAAAACAGAGCTTCTACCCACTTCACAGATTCTCCATGTCACATCGTGTCCTGCTCACCCCACCCCCTGCTTTCTTTTCCTCCAGAGCACTTCCCACCTTCCATCCTTACATACGTTTGCTTACATACTTTGTCATCCTCCCTGACTGAAAGAGAAACTCTACACCAGCAGGGAGTCTGGTCTGATCCGTTCACTGCTGCATTCTTGACATCCCTGAAGCCTAGAGCCGCATCAGGCCCTGTAGTAGTTGCTCACTAAATATTTGTTGAACGGACGAGTAATTGAGTAAAAAGGACCGTGCTTGACATGCAGTGATGGGTGGCAGTGGCAGTGCTCTTACTAATTTCTGTGGGGAGAAAAGCCATTGCCAGACCATCTTCAGAGTCGGCACCGCTGTTCTCAGGGCCGAGTGCCCTTTGAGGCCAAAATTCCTGTTGCACTCTCCCCCTTCTCCAAGGCTCTGCCGTTGTTGGAGAATGGGGGCCTGACCCTTGCCTGGGCTGGGGACAGTGGAGTCACACATTTAGAGAAACCAAGTGGAGGAGAATCGGCAGCAGGATTCCCAGGACTCCTGGAGCGTGCCAGAGAAACTGGAAGCAGAGGAAACCCCGCTCATCGAAACCAATCAGGACATCAAAGAGCTCTCGGGGCCCACAGCTGCAGAGAAGGTTCCCACAGCCTATGCCTCGAAGGCTCCAGTAGATGGATGGTGGAGAGAAACTGTCTTCTCTAACCAGAACCCATGTCTGAAATCACAGCCAGCAAAGGCTCGGAAAGTGAAAGAGCAGAGTCTGACTCGCTTTATTAATCTGGGCATTTGCGATGGCAGTCAGGATGCTTACATCTTTCATCCTCCACGTGCCTCACACCAGGAACTCACAGACACCCGGGATGCAGCAGTGTGGGACTGATTATAAAGAATGTGTTATTCTGATGGAAAAGACTTTTAAAGACTCCACCTCCCAATAGCCTGCCCACTGGACATGTTCTAGAAGGAAGTCTGGTATCAAAACATAAATCTAAACAGAAACCAAACTAGCAAACAGCAACGTGCATTAATGGGACCCTTTTATGTGTACCAAACCCAACATTCCCTCAACTCCTTGGCCCCAGGGTATTGTTCTTTGTTGTTACTGTTCTTTGTCTCCTTTTCATCTTTCGATACATTCTTCCAAGATTCTCGCAGCAGTGTACTTCAGAGCCCAGACTCTCTTATGGAAAGCATATGTCTTTGGGAACATACTGTCCCACTTGAAGTTCTGGAGCCAGTTGTATTTCTGTTCCAGGATCAAGTGAGAAACAGTTATTTGCAGGGTTGGAAGGAACTTCAGGTTAGCTCCTCAGCCAGGAAAAATCACACTTGAAGCAAAGAGTTTCTAAAAGATCTCTAAGAAAAGAAGAGCATCTCCATTTAGCCTGTGGGTCTTCGTCATTCATCTGTCCATTTATTTTATTCATGCAACATTTGTGGAAAGTTTACCATGAGCAAGGTCTGTGCTCAAAGCCCAAAATGCCAAAATTCCAAGATAAATATGATCCATCCTTCCCCTCCGGTAGCTCGCACTCTAGGAGAGGAGATAAGCAGCAGTCCAATTTGACAAGGCCACGGCAGAGGTGTGGTCAGATTTGGGTCACGGGGCAGGAGTCAAGAGACAGGGAGAGACAATTTTTCAGAGGAGAGGATACTCTTTAAAGAGAATAAGAGGGAAGGAGGTAAAGAAGAGAAGGAGCGGGTCCTTAACTATTGAATAACTGTAGAGCCAGGGCACGGACAGAAGCCAAAGCACACCGGTGTGGTCCCAACCAATGCCTGTGGGCCACAGATCTTTCTTACTAGCGTGGAGAATCTCCAGGACTTAGAGAGAAGTGGAAAAAGCAAAGTACAATGTCGAGTATCAGAAGTCCAGGTGGGAGTTACCCTTGGTGAGGTTGTGACAAGAGTGGGGCACGAGAGGGACTCCAGGATGCCAGCTCTCTGTGTTTTGATGGCTTTGTTTACTTTGTGGAAGTAAATCAAACCGAACACTGTGATAAATGCAATTTTCAGTGCAAATGTTCAATCAAGCATCATATGTTTACCAAAATGTTCAAAAAACCCCAAATACCACGCAGTCAGGCATGACTCAAATTCTTGTGAAGGGCTCCAGCAAACAAACAGTGTGCATGGAAGATGGAAATAGAGACATGAAGCAAAGCCACACTGAAAGAGCCCTGTATGCTGAATGAAGGAGTTCGCACGTCATCCTCAAAGACCCATGGAGAGAGCAAGCACTGATGGAGCTGAGGGGTGTTTCAGAGCATGGCCCCTTGTGCCACAATTGAGTTACTGGGTATAAGCTTAAAATTCTCCACCTGTAAAATGCAGCCATGATTGTATTTGCCCCCAAAAGCTATTTTGAGGATTGAATGAGATAATGCACAGAAATGTTTAGTAGAGTGCTCGCTAGAGTCAACAATAAATGTTTGCATTTTAGAAAGCTTCCTCAGGCAGGAATGAGGAGGACAGATGGGGGACGGCCAGACTGGCATGGGGAGACAAACCAGAAGGCTGTGGCAGTAATCTAAGGAAGACAGAATGAGAGCCTGACCGGAATAGGGACAGTGGAAGTCAAGGAGAGATCCACAAATGTGAGGGGGTACAATTAAGATCTGGGAAATGGAAGAGAGCGAAGTCCAAGGTGACTGTCAGGTGTCTGGCTTGGGAGAACTTGAAGATGGTGAAGCTGTTAGAAAGTCAACATGAGGAATAGACTTGGTAAGATCATGCATCAGATTTGGAGCCTGTTGAGTTTAGGGGTCCTGGGAGACACCCAGGTGAGCAAGTCCACAGGAACTCAGTGGAGGTGTTCAAGCTAAGGAGATAGATTTGGGAAGGATGTCAAACCTTGTTGAAGGTGAATTAGTAGGTGAGATCCTTCAGGGGTGATGTAGTGAGTGAGAAGAGTCAGGGGCCAAAGATGGAGCCCAAAGGAACATGGACATATAAAGGGGCAGACCAAGAAAAGGAACCTGTGAAGAAATTTGAGAAGAAACAATCAGAAAAGGTAGAAGGAACAACCAACAGAGTGCTATTAGAGTAGCCCAGCAGGGTGTCATCAACTGTGACAGATGCCACAGAAATGGCCCGTTAAACGAAGACAAAGTAGTGTTCATTGACTCCTGCATATGATGGCCATGGGGACTTCAGGGGAATAGTGGGACACAAGCAGGATTGTCCTGGGTATGTATTACGTGACTTGGAAGAAAGCAGCCAACAAATGCAATCCAGGGGAAGGAGAGCTGCAGGGCAAGAAGCTCGGGGAGGGGGGCTGGGATGAGGAGTCAGTCTTTTCCTGAAGGTCAGAGTTTCCAGTATTCACCTGTTTTGGAAAAGGTGAGATCTCTCTCTTTCTCTCTCCCCTTCTCCCTTCCCCTCCCTGTCTCTTTCCTTCTCGCGCTCTCTCCCTTCCTTTTTTTCCATCCTGTGTTTCTTCTCCAGAAGCCAAAGAGTAACTTATATACTGGAAACATGGAATGTGTTGCCTTTTTAAGTGTTTTTAAAATAAGATGTTGACCTGGGGGCTGTCTGTGCGGGAAGATGGTTTGGGAGTTAGTGTGAATGAGTGAGTACATTCCCCGCCTTTGTGGACCCTCCCTTCGCAGACTCAAAGCCTGTGTCTCCTGCCTTGGGCTGAGGCGACCATGTTGGGAGCCGGGGGCATGCTTCCTGCAGTGATGTGAAGCTGCTCTGTCCTGGCCGCTGCCCCCACCCCCTGCCCGCCTCTTCCACCCAGTGGGTAACCATTTGCCTCTAGAACTTGGGTCACACCACTTCTCCTGCCCACTCCTCCCCAAACCTGCTCTGGCTTCCAGGTAGGGCTCAAAACATACTGTCTTCAGAAACTCCCTCTTGTGCCCATCAGTTAGTCACTGTGTGGGGCTCATTTTGCATTTCCTGAGGGGTCCTGTGAGTCATTCTCATTCTGGTATATAAGACTTTGCCTTATTGGTGAAATCATAAGGCATCAGGCTAATTCTCCACGACATCTAGTGGGCCATCCCATGTAGAGTAGGTGCCCAGCAAAGGTTGGCTCGCAGAAGGTAAGGGCATGAAGTTTGCGCTAGACGATAAGCTTCCAGGGCAGGTGCCGGGCTCGTGCATCTTTTTACCCCTTCAGCGCCAGCTCCCTAGCACTCTGACCATCTATCCATTCCACAGAAACTTACTGAGCACCTGCCAGGTACCAGAAACGGCACTAGGTAAGCTGAGGATTCAGCAGTGAACCAGATCCCCGATTCTAGAAGAGGAGACAGCCAATAAGGAAACAAACAAAGGAACAAGTCCAATAACCACAGGCTGTGGCAAGCTCTTTGAAGGAAGTTAACAGAGCTCTGTCATGAAGAAGGGGCATGTTTATGCTCAGACCTGAAGGCTGCTAAGGAGAGAATAAATAAGTTGCCCCTCAGCCTTCTCTTCCTATTTAATAGCCGCACGACCTTAACTTTTCCTTCAATAAAATATTCAAAGGGGTACAATAAGATGACATGGTATGGGCTTTCCTGGTCAGTGGGTTTACAGCCCACTAACACGTCCAATCCTTAATGAATCACCGTCTCTAAGCGTTGCATATGTCACCTGCACTAGGGGGGCGGCAGCCCTGGGGTCCCCATGGAGGGACAAGGGAGAAGGCGCCCAGCTGCGCGGCGTTCTGCCCCAACACCAGCCACTTGAGCCCATGGTGGTTTGTTTTGCAGGTGAGCCGGCCTCATCCCAGCGACCACCCTCTCCTGATCCTCTTCGTGGTGGGCGGGGTCACGGTCTCAGAAGCCAAGATGATCAAAGACCTTGTGCCGTCCCTGCAGCCAGGAACCCAGGTACTGAGGCCTCTGTGAACGGTGAAGGAGGGTTCTGAGGCACCAGTGGGAGGGTGACTGAGGGTCCTTCATCTGGCTTCCCAGCACCTCTCCCCGTCTCCATCCCACCTTTCTTCTCCCACCCACTCCTGCCCTGTCACATTCCCCCTCCACCTGCTCCCGGGTCAGCTGTCCTCCTGCGGCGGACACAGGGAGGAGAGCTGTCCCTTACGGTCCTCGCCTGCCTCTGGGCTTCAGGGGCTAAGCTGCTATTGTCCCTAGTCCCGATTCCTGAAGGGCATACATTCTCTTGTGTCCAGTCAGCTCTTAGATACTCACGAGTTGTTACTCAAGGCGCATCATCAAGACAATAACAGATGTAGCGTCTGTCTCCTCTGTCGCCTCCTGCCAGTGCCCGTTCATCCCCTCGGAAGCAGCCTGGTGGTCAAGAACACACACCTCTCGATTGTATGGGTCTGTCCTTGAGTCTTACCTCTGTCATTTACTAGCCAGCTGATCTGGGAAAGCAGAGCCTTCCATTTTCTCCCGGAGGCAACAGGGCTAGGGGGGCTGTGAGTCTTGGATCAGGTAAGGGGAGAGCACATACTTCTAGCACTGTGCCTGCCCCATAGCTCTTGATAAATGGTGGCCACCCTCAGTATCAGCCGTTTCCGGGCGGTCAGCACCCTGCTCAGCGGTGGTGGTGGTGGTGGGGGGTGTTTAGCTGCTGACAGGAGGCAGCCTGAGCCCAAGGGGAGGGACTTCAGGAGAAGGAGAGCCCCTGCCCCTGGAAGTTCTAATCTGGCTGACGGCGCAGAGCCGGCAACTCAGTAAGACTTTAAGTCCTTGCCTGAGCGGGCTCCCCAAAACATGAGAGCAGGTGGTTTCCATGGGAGACGATCCCAAGAAGCAGAAGAAGCACGGGAATCTGAGAAGACAGAGTCGAGAGAGAAAAGCCAGAAAAGAGTGCTTTGTTGCAGGCAGCCGGGGCTCTGTCCTCTGGGGGCCCGAGGAGCCCAGACGACATGCCCCCGGATTGTCCTGCCGGGAGACAGGGAGTCTGACACATGTTCTCATTGACTCTCACCCCCCACCCCCATTTGAGACTTGCCTCTGAGGGCTTATCTTCAGCTTTAGCCCAGGGGACCTCTGTCTCCTCTTAGGCGAAGTTCTGCCTGTCTTCGGCCTTCCACATCTCTGCTGGAATCCAAACTCCGCACTTGGCAGTGCGACCCTGAACTGCCTGCCCACTGCCTCCTATTCGCTGCCCCGTCTCCTCAAGCAGACATGGATTCCATTAGGACAAAGGCTGGGGCTCCCCACCCCTGAGCACATGGCAGGAGTTCTGGAAGCCTGGTGTGCTGGCTTGATTGGCTACAGAGCAGGCTCGATCGCCCGGTGAGGCAGAGAAGGCCTGGGTCCTGTGGTCTCCAGACACCCAGCCGAGGAACGGACCTGAGTATCTAGGCAGCTGCAGAAAGTTCTCGAACGGGGAATGAGCAGTCTTTGGCTGTGACCATTTCTGCTCTAACTACCACCTGTCATGGTCCTAGCTGGTGAAATTTCTGACCAAGTGGTCAATTCTGCCTCATCTAACACCCTTTCAGCAGTGTCAAGGATCTGTTTAACAAGCAGTTGCCTTTTTGAGCAAGACTTTTTTTTTATCAGAAAGCACACTTCTCGCTGTCCTTAATGAGGTGAACAAATTCTTTGCTCTCCAGAACAGTGCTGCATTGTACCACCCCGACAGACATGTTAATCTCCACTCTAGAAGGATACAATGCAGCCATTTTCAAAGCTGCGGGACCCGAGTTAGACAACACAGACCTGGGCTCTGCAGTGGCTTTGCGACAACCCAACCCTGTGCCCGGTCATCTACAGAGGGAGCTGCTCAGAGAATCTGGGACTTGAGGAGCAGCCGTGATTGCTATGTGTCCATGGTGCAAAAAGTTCCTCCGAAGAGCTAACGGGCCCCAGGAAGCCCCCAAAGGCAGTAGGGAAAAACAGCGGAGGAGTTATTGATCATGGTGCCCTTGATCTCCAAGCTTCTGAAAGGAGGTGGGTTACCCGGATGTTTGCTGGGGTGGTACCTGTGGAGGCAGATCTTCCTTTCTCAGACCCCAACAGACTCACTCGGCCCTGGGTGCACACCTACCTGTGCCCAAATCTGGGACGGGAGCAGCTACCTGCTTTTACACGTGTAGTGGAAGTCCGGCCTTGCTGCTCTAACTGTCCACGAAACGGCTGCTCTAGCTGTCCACGAAATGGCATGCATACGGTGCCATTACCAACTCAGACTTCGACATCTGTTGGAGAACACAGGTGAACTAATTGAAAGGCATAGGTTCTACTGAGTCTATGTGCCCAACAAACCCTCAACCAACAAGCTAACTCGGACGTGACCGTCCATGTGAACAACGGATAATATGCGTTATCTAACCCTAGTATTCTGTCTTTACTAGCCAGCCTACACGTGAACACCTCTGGTGATGAGGACTCGCCCCCTCCCCCTGCAGCCTATCTGGGCCTTGGAGGGCCTTACTGTTATGTCTCTCTCCCCTAGACGAGTCCAAATCTGCCTCCTTCTAGCCTCCCTCATTAGTGCTGTTTCCAGCTCCTGGGCCCCACAGAATTTACAGGCAAATCAGGCCCATCCCTCTCCCACGTGTTCTCCCCTGGGTCTGCTCTTCTCCAAACCAAGGCTTTCCAGTCCCATGAGGTGTATCTGAGAGTGACGGGTGTGGTGGCTGTCCTCAGCCCCGCTCTGTCTCTCCCTCTCAAACTCAGCTGGAATGGAGAGCCGTAGGTCAGTGTGGATGACCCTGAGATCATGAGATCAGTGCAGGGCAGTTGGGTCCCCCTCCTTCTCATCTTCACCACAGCCGACAAGGCCCAGCGCACCGTCTGAGGGATGGATTCTTTCCGCTCCGTTTTCACTGCTCTAGAAGTGTCAACATCAACTGAGTCTACAGTCTTTTCTCTCCAAGGTCCTCGGTCCTGCCAACAAGGGAGGTGCGGTTGGTTAAGAGGTTGACTCTTGGCTTCGGCTCAGGTCCTAATTTCAGGGTTGTGAGATCAAGCCCCACGTCAGGCTCTGTGCTGAGCTCGGAGTCTGCTTAAGACTCTCTCTCCCTCTGCCCCTCTCCCACCTCTAAAAATAAATCGAGAAAAAAAAACCCACCCAGCGCTACAAATAGGGTCGGGATTGCTGGATGTCATGATTGTTCATTGAATGTTGAATACTGAACACTAGAAACTTTACTTATATTATTGTAGCGTAAGATAAAAGTAGCTCTTCTGGAGAATTCACCAACCTGTTGATTTGATCCTGAGATTATGGGCAACTAAAACCAGCCTGACTTTTGTATCAGTTCCTATTAATCCACATCTTCTCTATATCTATGTGGGTACTTTGGGGACCCAAGCGCAAGAGCCTACCATCACATCTACTGAATTGGATTCATTGATTATTCAGTGAACATTCATTGAATATCTGCTTTGTGCCAAGCACTGTTCTTGTGCTAAGGATAGAGTAGTGAGCGAGCCAGACTCGTGCCTGCTTTTGTGGAACTTATATTCTAACAGTGAAGGACTGATGTCAAGCATGAAAACTCCAACCAGAGATAAGGGTGCCAGGAACACAGACGGTGCTATGGTGGGAATAAGTGCAGGGGGACGTTCCTTCAGACGGCACAGGTTCCCCGTGGAGGAAAAGAATTTGAAAAGCATTCAGGGACCAGCTCTTCAAAGGAAACTCATAGAACCCACTTATGGCCCATCCAGGAATGAATTCTCTTCCACAGAAAGTGACAAGGGTAGCAGGAAACATGGAATCTAGAAACCATATGTCCACACCTGCTTGTTTTGTAGGACTGTTGTCATACTCTAAAACGGGCATGTTTCCTCCACTCTCTGCCCGTGGTTGTTGGCCAGGGGGCCCATGAGAAAAAGTGGGCAGCTGGAGAAGGCCCTCTGTCCCAACTACAAAAAAAGGGATCGAAGAAGCAGCTCCCCCCACCCCACCCCACCCCAAGCAGCCCAACCATGAGGCAAGAAGCTTCGTAGGCTTCCCCTCACTCTGGAGTGCTTGTGCCCAGCACCCGCCCCTGTCTCACTTGCTGCCTGTTGTCGGGCCCCATGCCCAGATGGCTCTGCAGGCTGAACTCTGTGGCTGGATGGGGGCCAAGAGGCCCACAGAAGCCTGAGATTGTGGGAGGAAAATAACAGGGAGGGACCCTCCCAGAGGACACAGGGAAAGGCCAGCTCAGGAAACAGAGGAAGACCATGTGGGCAAGTTGGCCCTGCCATCCACCGCTTTTCATAGGTGGATGCATGTTCCCACCCACATTTTCTAGCACTTCTGTGTTTCTGGAGCTGAATATTTAGTGAGAATGTAAGAGAAAAAACAAAGTAGATCAAGAAATATGCTCATACACACAGTTTGGCATAACTTTAGGGGTTCAGGATACCTAAATTCTGGCTCCAGGTTATTCTAAAATTGATTGAAAGGCCCAAGAGAGGAGTCCAGTGACTTCCTTTTTTTTTTCTCTTTTCAGTCTAGATTTATTTTATTCTTTTTTTTTTTTGGATGTATTTGTTTATTTGAGAGAGAAAGAGACAAGTGAGCAGGGGAGGGGCAGAGGGAGAGGCAGAGAGTCTCAAGCAGACTCCACAGTGAACGTGGAGCCTGATGCGGGGCTTGATCTCACGACCCTGAGATCATGACCTGAGCAGAAATTGAGAGTCGGACGCTTAACCCACTGAGCCACCCAGGCGCCCCTAGATTTACTTTATTCTGAAGTTTCTTACTCTGAGGAAAACATCAATGAGGTTTTAAATTTATCTTTTTTGCCTGAGTTAGCTTAGAGCCTTATAATCTGAACTAGAGACTCTAGAGACAGTACAGATCAAGGTATTGGATGGCAGCCCACATGTTCATAGTATTCTTGTTCACACTGTCCTTCACTCCTGTGAATGAACAATTCTGGAGTCATTTGCAGTGTGAGGTTTGGTTCTTCTTTCCCCTTGAATGACTTCTTATTAAATAACCCCCAGAAGGGACAAAGATGAGGAAGTGATCTGAAATGTCCCACTTATGGTTCTTTGGGAGACCCTGGTAGCACGGTGTACTCACCTCAGAGTCAAAGTGAAAACAAGGCAGACAGTTCACAGTGAGTTTCCCAGAAAGCTTGGTCGTGTCCCTGTACTTAATCCACTCTCCTACTGGTCTAGCAATACAAACCTTCTACATTTAACACACACGTATGAGTATGTGTGTGTATGCCCATGCAAGTGGGGGTAGGCAGGGCCTCGGATATGATATATGCTCACAAACCAGGTCATCAAGTGGAGGAATATGCATGTTGGTGCCTGTGAATAGTTTTACTGGGAAGAATCTCGCAAGTTTAAAAGAAAAAAGGAGAAAAACCATTTTTATCCCCTGCTCCTTTCAATTCAAAATGTTAGAAATCAGATGGATCTGAAATCTAAATCCTGGACTGCCCTGCTTCCTCTGTGTTCTGCAGAAATGGAACAGCAAGATGCTGGAACCTGCAAATTAGAGTGGTGGCCTGCAGAAGCTGGACGTGGGAAGAAAGCAAGAGGGCTGGGCTGCTGTCCAAGCCTGACCCGCTCCTGCAGGAGCCTGGGCCAGCTGACGTAGGGGCTCTGGGGAGCCCTGGGGAGCCCTGGGGAGCTGCGGTGTCCTCCTCCCCTGGCTCACAGATGGAAGTCTTCATCAGTGCCCTCGGCTGCCTGGACAAAAACCAGTTCTCTAGAAGGAATTCTCTCGTGCTGAATTTGTTTACCACCACACATTTGATGACTGTTTATAAAATCTTCATTTTATATCTAACAGGCCAATCTCAGGCTCTTTTAAGCATTTTCTTTCTCATTTTGGCCATCTTTTTGTCCCCCCAGTTGGCTAATTTTTTAGACTGTTTAGAACTATTTTAGTCAAATAATGCAGAAATGCCCTAGATGAATGGGCTAAAAACCTCTAAAAATGCTCAGATGAGTCTGAAGACCAAAAGATGCCTAAGATGTGAAAATGCTCAAGGCCCCTCATCTGTAATAGCGTAAATGAATTGTTAGCCTGGCTTGTGATTCCCAGTAGGAAATGTAGACAAATAGTTGAACTGATTTGAAATAATTTTCCCAGAGCTATTTGAGCTATCTGTTATTAGAGCCTCTCAGGGTGAAAAACTTCCTGCTGACCATTGCTAAACTCACTGCCTCCTTCCTTGTCTGACCCGTTTCTGTTCACTCATTTCGTCATTCACTGACTCCCTATATCAAGGACCCGCTACATTTCGGGCACTGTGCTAAGAAACAGCAGAAAGATTCAGGAAAGGCAACAAGGAATATAGTGTGGTACCAACAGCCGTGGGAACACACTTCAGCTTTGGGAGGGGTGGTCTTGGAAGGCTTCCTGGAGGTGGTGATGCCTGAGCAAATTTTTGAAGGACTGAGAGGTCTTCAGGTAAAGAGGAGGGGGACTCATGTCCCGGGTGAAGAACCATCCCCAAAGTTCCACCCGTGAGACTGCAAATAGTCATGTCAAGTGGAGATCATTATTCCCACTTTACAGATGAGGAAAGTGAGGCCCAGCTAGGGTCCAACTCCTAAGTCTGTGCTCTTATCCACTGCCCCATCTGGCAAGAGTCCTTGGTCTGAGCTTTCTTGCCTCTTCAGAGCCCCTAGCTCCCTCCACACTGCCCTGGTTTCCCATCTGCTTCTTTTCAGCCCTCCACATGCATGTCCCAGGCACCCTCTGGTTCAGCCCTCATGCTAAATACCTGCCTGTTCAGAGGTGAGGGGCCCCGTCTTTGGGTCCTGCTCAGTGGAGGTCACGGAACCCACCGTCTCTGTCAGCCACGGCTGGAAGCCCAGCACACCGTCTGAGGGATGGATTCTTTTGGCTCGGTTTTCGCTGCTCTAGAAGTGTCGACATCAATTGAGTCTACAGTCTTTTCTCTCCAAGGTCCTCAGTCCTGCCAACAAGACTTACATATCCTGGGAGGCTCCCGCTAGCCCTTATGCTTGCCCTCACCTCAGCCAGAGAGGAATCTGCCATTTTGACTCAGGAAGGAGCACAGAGGCTGGCAGTGGTGGTGGGAACTGGCAAGTCACCAGGGCAGGAGAGGGGCGTCTACTGCCTCCCGAGAGTCAACTACTAGAGAGTATGCAAAGGACTTCTGTTTCTATGCACATGTTTTACAAAATATCTGAATACGGGTTTCTTACCTTATGGTCTATGATTCCTAGTTGAACACAAACCTCATCTGAAACTACATGCAGAATCTTGTGTGTGTTGAACGGACACATATTTTTCTAGAGTTCTTAGCTTTTTTTTTTTTTTTTAAAGATTTTGTTTATTTATTTGACAGAGAGAGACAGCGAGAGAGGGAACACAAGCAGGGGGAGTGGGAGAAGGAGAAGCAGGCTCTCCATTGAGCAGGGAGACTGACTGACCTGCGGCTCGATCCCAGGACCCTGGGCTCATGACCTGAGCCGAAGGCAGCCGCCCAACCGACGGAGCCACCCAGGGGCCCCTAGAGCTCTTAGCCTTTTTAAGGAGACCTGTGACCCAGTCACAAAACCACAGTAAAATGGCACTCAGAATGGCCGGGCACTTCCTGTGCTCTAGGCACGTGACTTGACGCAATCCTTGCCACAGCACCCCCAGCTCAGGGCTGTTGTTGGCCTCTGGGACACGCAGAGTAAGGCTCCAAGGGAGGCGGCTTTCCCTGGGGCACGCAGCCAGCCTGCGGTGGAGCTGGGCCCTACAGGACTCCAACAAGTGTGTGGGCCCGGGTGCCGCCGTTCTTAGCCAACCGCTAGGCTCGCGCAGGAGACCCTCTCCAGACCCATGTGTTCATATGCTGTCTACATCGTGTGTGCAGATGATAAGGGCGTGCTAATATTCGCTTGCTGCCCTCCAACTCTCATCCCCTGGCGTTCAAGGACAACTGTGAGCACAGACTGCAGTATTTCTTTTTCTGCCAAAAATATAACTTGGCTGACATTAGCCATATATTGTTTAAGATCGTTCTCTTTTGAGAAAAAGTAAAAAAGCTGCTTGCAAGGGCTCATTTTTGCTTGAAACAGAAAACTTTTTAATAACCCTCACTTCTTTAACACGAAGAAGGAGGAGGAGGAGAAGATGAAGAAGAAGGAGAAGAAGGAGGAGAAGAAGGAGGAGGAGGAGGAGGAGAAGAAGGAGGAGGAGGAGGAGGAGGGAGGGGAAGGGGGAGGAGGAGGAGGAGAAGAAGGAGAAGGAGAAGAAAATCATAAAATGCTTTCTTCTCTCCTTCCTTCTTCGACTCGGGCCGCATCTGCCTTTCCTCCACATTGGAGTGGGGACTCTTGTTTCTGACCAGTGAGCTGGGAGTTGGTTACATCATTGGCTTGGGAACACCGGGAACAATGTGGCGGGGGAGACAGCATGCACATTCCCGGGCTGTATGGCCAGGTGAAGCCCGGTCCTGCTGCTCACCTTGCAGTCACCTCTGCTCGGGCGCTGGGCTGTGGAATTCCAGCTCTAGGCCCTCCTTCTCCATTCCCAGAGTCAGCTCCTCACCTGGCCGCCTGTGCAAATCCTCACCAGCCCTTAGCCCTTACCCAGCACATCATAGACTCAGCCCGGACCCAAGGAATAAGTTGTTTCAGTGCTATAAAGAGAAATCTACCCCAGAGGCAAGGTCCAGACCGAAGGAAGCAGGAAGGGTCCACCACAGTGACAGGTCAGAGAGGCCCAAAAGTCCCTGTGGACTAGGGGAGTAAAGCAGCCTTGCCCAGACCCCTTGACATGACCGAAGTGATCAGATAGGCCCTTGGATGCTGGAGTCAGCCTGCCTGGGTTGGAATCCTAATTCAACAATTTCCTGTGTGTTTCTGGACAAGTTATTTAACCTTTCTGTAGTTTATTTTCCTTATCTATAAAATAGGAATAATAAATGTACCCATTTTATAAGGTTGTGATGAAGATTACCTGGATTTTAAGTGAGATCATGCTCAGTGCCTGGCACATCATAAGAACCAATAAATGTGAGCCAATACCATCCTTATCCCATCATTGTTACAGGTTGACTTGTGCCCCCTCCCAAAAGATGCTAAAGTCTGAATCCCTAGTACCTGTGAATGTGACCTTACTGGAAATAGGTCTTTGCAGATGATCAAATTAAGATGAGGTATTTAGGGTGAGCTCTAATCTGATATGACTGTGTCCTTATAAAAAGGGGAAATTTGGACAGAGAGGCATGCATTGATGGAAGACAGTGTGAAGACACAAGGAAACTGAGAGGAAAGCATGGAACTGATTTTCCATGCTTATAAAAAGGGGAAATTTGGACAGAGAGGCATGCACTGATGGAAGACAGTGTGAAGACACAGGGAAACTGAGAGGAAAGCATGGAACTGATTTTCCCTCACAACCCTGCCAACACCTTGATCTTGGACTTGTGGCATTCAGAACCATAAGACAATAAATTTCTGTTATTTAAACTGCCCAGCTCTGGGTCCTAGGAAATTAACACAGTCATCACCATCACCCACAACGCCATCCACCCCTTGGGTGTGCCTTCTCATGCTCCCCAAAGGAGCAAAGCCTCCCTGGAGAAGAGAGAAACCTCCTCTCTATTGAGGTCAAATTACTGGATCCCAAAGCTACAGTATGATCGGATTCAGTTCAGCAGCCAGGTGGTGGCTGGGCTCGGCCATTCTCGGTGCCAATTGGTTAACGGTTCAGGAAGCAGAGCCCCGCTGTCCCACAGGCCATCCTTCCCCGCCTGTGCACCCCTCCTTCCACCCAGGACCCTAGCATCCGGCGGCGTCCAAGCTGCCACGTTCTGCCTTTTCTCCACAATGCCCCACTCTGTGCCTTCCCCCAGAGAAACACATTGCATTTTATTTCTCGTCCTCCCATAACCTGGGATTGGCTTTCCTAACTGTCTGTGGTGTGTTTGTCCCCTCCTGCTGGTAGGTCATCGTGCTGTCCACGCGACTCCTGAAGCCACTTAACATTCCTGAGCTGTTATTTGCCACTGACCGGCTGCATCCAGACCTTGGCTTCTGAGCGGCTGCTAAGAGGAGACCTGCCCGAGGTGGAAACACCCATCCTGTTGCCTGCCACCATTCAAGATATGCCTCCAAACCCAGTGTCCTCTTGCTAAGTGTGGGGAGGACAGAATTCTGCCCCAAAGGTCTTGAGAACCATGTAGCAAAGTGCTTTGCTTGGACTGCCGGCAAGTCTTTAAAAATAATAATAATAATTCATTTTTCTAAAGGTGTCTATCTTTCAGCTGGCTTCATTCGACATAATTCCCATTTCTCTGTTTGTGATCTTCCTGATTCCAACTGCAAGCTCCTGAATTCTACATAATCGCCTGTTGGCAAGTGTTGGTAGCTTACAAGCTATTTGATCTACAGTTGCTCAAGAAATTAGACATGCTTTAGAATTATGAGTGTGAAGAAAGTTTGATTTTCCTTAAGATTATGTAACTGGGGAGGGTACCTTGCAAATTGGATCTGAGAGCTTGCTGAAAAGGCAAGGAACGGAGGGGTTAGCAGCTAGAGCCATGCTGGTAGCCCACGGGCCACGTAACTTGGCCTGTCATTACAAAGGGCGGCGCGAGCCCACCAGGCAGGGTCCCCAGGCTACTTGCAACAGTAGTCGGAGAGAGGTTGATTGGAGGGCTGGCTCTGCCCATAAAAGCTTTCCTCCCCTCCCAAAGGAAGGCCCCCATAAAGGTTTCTGGTCCAGGGAGTCTAGATGGGAACCCCAACCCCTGGGACTTTTATGAGTTAGTGTTTCTATTGAAATAGAAAGCTCTCTTTTCAGTTTGTCTCACTTTTCCTTCTGGTCATGGCAGAAAAACCTAGACCCAACTAGGGAAATTATTTAAGAACTCTGGCAAAAATGAACTGCTTGGAACCCACACGTTTGTAGGTGTATGGTTCATGGAAATTTCTAGCATCTCTAAAAGATGTGTGTAATGAAGAGAGAAAGCTGAAAAACAGTTCTAGAGTGGATTAAACAGGTGGGCAAAGTAAAATGTAAATCAAAACACTCATGTGTCTCGGATTTTAGTTCCTTGTAAAATGTTATTTTATGAAAAAACTGTGAAGTTGGAAATCATTCTGAGGTGCAAAGCAGGTTTTATAGACACCAATGTTCTTCTTCTTCTTTTTTTCGGTCCAGTATGTTTTCCACCTAATACCAGTGGTGCTGATACGAGAGAGTCCACATGCTTCTTTCATTCCCCTGATCTAGAAGTTCGAATCTGAGTAAGGGAGAAAATGGCGATAGCCCGAAAGAAATGCTAATTAAAGCAGAGATCACTCTTTTTTAAAATTAAAAAATAATAATAATAACCTGTTAGTGTGTCAGTGTGCATTCATTCATTTCCACATATTGAGTGGCATGTTCTGGGCACTCTGCGAGGTTCTGGCCACCCTGGTGAGGGAGCCACATGTGCCCCTGACTCTGGGGCTCTCGCAGACTGAGCAGCTGGGGCTTCTCCCGGGGCTCTGGCTCTGTGTGAGTGCCTGCTCGAGGTAAAGTCCTACACCACACGTCTGTATGCAAAGGATACCCTCTGGAAATTTAAAAACCAAACTGCTAATAAGTAGTGCCTCTGGAAAGGAGTATGGTGGGAAGGCTCAGAAAAGGGGGAGTCTCGCTCTCAATAGACTTCTGTGTTGTTTGGATGTTCTCCACAGCAAACCTTGCTGGTGTATTACTTTTGTGGCTTTCTGTATTTTTACAAGTTGATTTTGTCTTTTAAAAAAGAATACTGCAGGGGCACCTGGGTGGCTCAGCCATTAAGCGTCTGCCTTCGGCTCAGGTCATGATCCCAGGGTCCTGGGATCGAGCCCGGCATCGGGCTCCCTGCTCCGCGGGACGCCTGCTTCTCCCTCTCCCACTCCCCCTGCTTGTGTTCCCTCTTTCACTGTGTCTCTCTCTGTCAAATAAATAAATAAAATTTTTTAAAAAATAAAAAAATAAATAAAAAAGAATACTGCAAAGCTTCTAATCTGGAATTACACAACAAGGAAGTCCCTGATTGTAAATGGGTCATCTAGCATTTACTGGGCCCCCAAAGGCAGTGTGGTGGGAGGAAATGTCTGTGTGGCGGGAGGAAATGTCACAGGTTAGGCTTATAACCATCTTCCATCTCCATGGTCGCCGGCAGGCAATCAGGTAGCGGAAGGCTTTGGACAAAAGAGGAGGTTCACAGTGACTGGAATTTGTTTTGAATAAGAAGGTAGGAGACACAGGACAGAGCACTGCTCCTTGAATTAAGAGCAGGAGCATAATGGAAACTTGGTATAAATCCCACAAAGGACCTTCATCAGATAAGGAAAAAGAAGGGCCTCGGGAAGTGGCATGTTGACCCCTCGACGCAGCCTCCTAAACCCTCTCTGGTGTTGCCTCCTTCTTGTGCTCACTGCCCAGGAGCGGGAGAGGATGAGGGAGAAACGGATCATGCCCTTGACCTCCTTCGAAGGTGTGAACAGCGCTCCGAACCGCAGCGTGGGTCTCGTCAAGCCTCAGTGCCTGCATGTGGAAGATACAGGTACGCCTGCAAGGTCCCTACCTCGTGAGAGAGGCTGCCGGAGAGGCCGCCATCCCTAAGAGCGTTTGCGCGGGACGCCAAGGCCCGGGGGTTTTGACTAGCCGGGACGCCGAGCCAGTCACCTCGTAAAGCGATCAAGTCTCAACAGGAGAATAATGTCAAATGAAGAGAACATTAGAGGCATTTCTGGGGTCCGCAGAGAAGGAGTAACACCTCGGTCCCGCAGACCTCCAGGATGGTGCAGCCCAGAGCCCCAGCCAGTGGCCACGGGTTCCAACCCCAGCTCTCCGCCCTGCAGCTCACTTCTGGTCGCAGTGGACCACGAAATTGGACAATCACAGGGCCTGCCTCAGCGGGCCGCTCAGAGAATGAAAATCAGTCCACGTAAAGCCCTTAGAACACGGCACAAGGCAAGCTAGCCAAGGGCATATCGGAATCATGGTGATCGTCAGTAACTGCCTGACGGGGTCTCACGTGGGGCCTTAGGTCTCTACGAGAAATTTCTCCGCCACTAAGGCTAACTGCAAAGCTGTCTGTGTGGCTTCTGCGATGGGCCTCCTGAGACTGACGCCCATTTCCACCACATGCCAGTGGACCAATCCTGGAGGGATTCCGGCTGCCTGGAGGTGGCTTGAAAGGCTGAGCTGAGTGGGAGTGCTGGTTTCATCGCTCGGGCCTGGCTCGGCGAGTTTACCACCTGAACTCTGGCTGGCCGGAGCCAAAACACGCACACGCAAATGCAAACCCTCTGCCAAGGGCCTCACAGGCCACTCTTTATAAACACAACTGATAGAGGTGCAAATACTGGGCAGCAATTGACTTCTGCCTTTGTAAACCCTCCTCCTGGAGTCCACTTCCCCGCAAACATAGCGGGCACAGCGAAGTGTTCAGAGGTGCTCAGGAGCTGCGGCAGCCAAGGGTTGTCCCCAGAGGCCCAGGGCGATGGAAATGGCCCTGTTTAGACCGTTACAGTGTCATCCCAACAACAAAGAATTCCATCAGGCTCCCCTCAAGACCACTATTATTTATTTTACCCTGGTTACCAGAAACCGAATCTCAACAGCAAATAAGCCAGTATTACGAATGTTGTCTGCCATCCCTGCTTAAGAAGCACTAAGAAACTCCATCTCTCTTTTACGGGGATTGTAAAAGACAAAACCAGATGATGGAGGGTATTGGAGAAGGGAGGTGGGGTGGCTGGGATCTCACCACAATCGGTAATAACACGAGTCTTGTTCTCCCCACACCAAATTAGTAAAGTAATGAGGATAGTGAGAACTTTCTGGAAACTTCTCTCTTTAGACTCTAAAAGGAGTACAGAAAACATGAGTTTTCCTGGTGCGTTTATTGTCATAAATAAAGCCCTATAATTCCTTCTGGCCCATCCCCTGAGGGCCCTGTGTTGATGTTCAGGCAGAAACTCTGCAGGGCAGCCCCCATACCCCACCCCCACCCCTGCAGAGGCAGGACCTGGAGTTACCCCACTGCTCATCTGTGAGGGATTTGCCCACAAGCTTGTTCGCAAAACACATTTGTTCTCTCCGTCTTGGGGTGTAAAGCGAATGTCGACATCTCCTGTGTCTCCGGAACCAGGGGCGCACTGTGCACACGCCCAGCCTCCAAGAGGGCTGGGGCTGGCAGGAGCCCCGGTGGGAAGTTGCCCCCGCCCCTGCACACCGCGCCCCGGCCGGGCAGGCTGCAGAGCGCTCCGAATGGTTTTGATTTGCAGCAGAGAGGAAACTCGAAAGCCAGACACCGAGACAGACACGGATCCGGTTGTGAGGCCGAGGGGCTGTGGGCGGTGCTGGCCCCCCGCCCCTGCCTGCGTCTTTATTACCGAGCTGGGGCTGGGGCCTGCGAGCAAGGCTGATGGCAACAGCAGATGCGCCGACCAGGCGGCCTGGGGCCAGGGAGGAGCCAAGAGGGGGGCGGGGGTTTGGAGGCAGGGGGCCAGGGCGCAGGGGCCAAGCCCAGGAGGACCAGCGTCTGCAAGACAAGAGGAGAGCACCCAGGGGCGCTTTGCTTGGAGGAGGGGAGCTGGAAGCTGCGGCCAGCTGCCCGGGGACCATGCTGTGGCTTCAGACAGGCCTGGGCTTGGGGGGGGAGGGGAGTCCTGAGTCTGCCTCTTAGGAGGTGGATCAGCTCCCTAATTCTGTGGAGCCTCCCTTCTCCCTGTCTGTAGAAAGAACTAAAAATGGACTGCGGGGTTGGTGTGGAGAACATAATTATTTCAAATACCCCGTACGGTCCGACACAGATTTCAACAAACAGAAACAGGTGATATGATCTGAGCCTCAGTTTTCTCACCTTTAAAATTGGAGTGGTAGTATTACCTTCCTCATAGGATTCTTCAAAAGATTAAAGGAGATCATTCATAATCTGGCACATTATAAATGCTCAGTAAACTCTAATTCCTTTCCTTTCTCCACCACCCTCGCAATCCCTCCCTTTCCTTCCCCTGGTGGCAAAGGAGGCGTTCCCCTACCTAGGCGGGAGAGGGCAGTTTCTCTGTACCATATGGTTGCAGTTCAGAAATTTTAAAACAAACACCCAGGGATTAATAAATACTAATAATGAAAGAGATGAGCAAAGGTAATAAAACATGAAGCTAAATTTGTGAGAAGAAAATATGGTGGATTCCAGAACTATAAATATTTAAGTTAACCTGAGACACTGGACAGAACTGGGACCTGGGGGGTTTCCAGTCTGTCTCTCTCACACACACACACACACACAGACACACTTTATTCCGCTGGGTGGATAAGAGCTCTGAGACACCCCTACCCGCCAACTTCCGAGGTGAAGTAGGAGAGATGCAGCCCGGTGGGAAAGGGAGGGCCAACCGTGAAGTACCAGGAGGTGAGGAAGGGAGGAGGGGAGGCCTGCCCAGGCGTCTGCAGGCTTGGAGAACAGCCGGACTGGAGCGGGGAAGGAAAGAGTGTGTCACTCATTAATGGAGGTACAGCACTGCTCAGCACCTCTCCCAAAACCGCCCCCCCGAGGAAAACTCTGCGCCTTCTTTAATTCCAGAACTGGGTTGAAGGCCACTGTTAAGTACAGAAAATTTAACCTTTTAGTCACTGGACATTGTTTATATAACCACATAGAATGAATAAAACTAAAAACAAGCAGGGGCGCCTGGATGGCTCAGTTGGTTAAGTGTCTGTTTTCGTCTCAGGTCATGATCCCAGGGTGCTGGGATCGAGCCCCGAGTCGGGCTCCCTGCTCAGCAGGGAGCCTGCTTCTCCCTCTGCCTGCCCCTCCCCCTGCTGTGCTCTCTCTCTCTGACAAAGAAATAAAAAGAAAAAAAAACCCTAAAAACAAGCAGAAAGTAGTTGGAGAAACTTGTTAGTGCCTCTGAACTGAGATGTTTTTAGAATCTCATGTGAATACCATTTCCCTCCCTGCCCCCAACACACTCACACACACACACACACACACACGCAGACAGGCACACACGCACATGCCCTTCTCAGCAGTTAGGTTAGGCGTAAGTGTAGAAAACTGCCGTCCATATAAGGAAGGTCT